GCATGCTCAATAATCCAGGTAGAAAAATCTAAAAAGGTTAAATCTGGTCCTATGGACATTCAAAAAAAAAAAAACAAAGGTGGGTGGGTTTGCGGTACACCTCAGTTTGCAAATGTCCTCTATCAGAGACTGAGACCTCACAGTCAAAGAAAGCCAATCTGCCAGTTTTTACATCTTCTCGTGTGAACTTGATGTATTTATCCACAGAGTTGAGGTGTACCTTTAAGACCAATTGTTAGCATGATTAACTCGGTCACTTACAATGTTTCCAAATATCTGGCGTCTGTACTCATCCCTTTAGTTGGCAGCTCAGAACATCACATACAGAACACCATGGACTTTGTGGATAAGTTGAGGGATGTCATCATGGAGACTGATGAAACAATGGTCTCTTTTGGTGTCACACCACTCTTTACGTGAATTCATCATTAAACAGGGGTGGAGGCCTCCGTGTTCAACTGTCCCCCTCTTACAATACTGTTATTGCTAGTATCACTCAGCCCCCTGTGAACAGTAAACAGCCATCAGTGTGCTAATGATCCATTAGCTGATGGTCCATTAGCTGATGGCTGATGGTCCTTCTTGACCATGTGAGGTTTTGGTTGTCAGCAGCAAACTGGTTGATCCACTCTGTGAAGGTGCTATTTATAAGACTGAGCTGAATACAGCACCTCAGACTGAGGAAGTCTTTCGGATGAAAGACGAAACGTTTCTACATTTTTTTTGTTTTGTTTTTTGAATGTCCAGAGGACCAGATTTAACTTTTTTTTAGAAAGATTTGGAAAGTAAGTTATAGGGTCTAAATGAAATACAATAAAACTGCCTAAATAAACATTAGTTGGTGGCTTTTTCTTGCAATGTAAAAAGACTCATTTTATTCACGGGCATGCCTACATGACATCAAAAAGTCACATCCTAGACTTAAACCTGCAAAACCACATCAATCAACATCCTCTTCCCTCCATCCAGGTGGGTGGGGTGGGGTGTGTCACTGGTGCACCCCCCCCCCCCCCTTTTTTCCATTTAACCTTTATTTATACAGGTTAGTCAAGCCAAGTCTAGACTTGCAGATTCATTTATATAGCACATTTAAAACAGAAACTGTTACCAAAGTGCTTAACAAAAACAACAACAACAACAAAAAAAAGATCATAGCATCAGATAAAAAGTAACAAGATATTACAGCATATGAAATAAAAATATAAAACACAAAACATAATTAGAAACAATGAAATACTAAGGTTAGTTACTAGGTTAGTCTCATTGAGCCACGAGAACTCATTTACAAGAGAGACCTATTTTAAACAAAGAACAGAAGATGGTACAAACAATAAGACAGTCATATAAAAAAGCATATGAAATGAAAAGTAAATAGAAAAATAAATAAAAAAACAGCAAAAAATGAGACAAAAACTGCTACATTATAAAGCAGTGTAAATACTAAAAACAGGAACATGACCGTTGGTATTTGTCATGAAATTAGCAGTTGTTTAAAATCCTTTAGGTCAAGATCGAGTGCTTCAGATCTTTTTGCAAGGTGTTGAAAGTTACAGGGGCGGACTAAGAGACGGCCCTTTTGCCAAGTTCGGTCCACAACTAGGGTACACGGCAATTAATCATATGTCCTGAGAACGCACGCTGTAGCTGCACCCACGGAGTGACATATAGGAGAAGAAATATGACACTCCGTGAATGCAGCGACAGTGTGCGCTCTCGGGACATAATTACTTGCAGTGCACCGTCAGTGTGGACTGAACTTGGCAAAAGGGCCTTCTCTTACTCCGCCCCGTAACCTGTATATCTAGCAGTCACTGTGCAAGAGGCAGTCTCTCCCCTCCACAGAAAATATGTCTATATATTTTTATATAATGCTATATATTATACTATACTACACTATATCTCCCCTCCCATTTGCGGACAAAGCGCGCAGAACATATGGTAGTTTGGGTCAAAATACGATCGTTTTAAAACCCCCGTACAATATTTCGGGATTTTCTATCTGGCAACCCTGGTGCTAACTGTCAGCTGATGCGATAGATAGAGCAACAGCCAACATCTGAGGCAGCGACGGTTAAAAAAGGTTCGTGTATTAACCTCACGTGTACTATATATATATATATATATTGTGTGTATTTTGTATTCCATTGTGTCTAAATATAAACGAGTAAGTTCGTAGTGCGCAGCTGTGTTTTTATTTTCAGACGAGGTCATTTCTTATTTGACTGGCCGGCTAGTTGTAGCAGTCTTTTCGAGAAAAGGTGTCCCCTGAAGTGCATGCCTGCACCCATAACTGACAAACTACTAAACAAATATAAATGGTTTTTTTTTTATTATACAGGTTTTTCCATTAACAAGAGTTAAGCTGTTTGCTTCTGACTGTCACTTAAAAACCAACGCGTTAAAATAAAGTTATATTTTTTATATTTAAAAAAAAAAGAAGATTCTAATGGGAATGGAGTCAACTCAACATGTAAGCTGTTCATTAAAGTATTTATATTTTTTCCTGGTTCTAATAATGAACCACATTATTATTATTATTAGAATCACAGAGTCTCTGTGATAGTTAAGATAGTTAAAGTGTAACCAAGTAAGTTGGTTAAAACTGTTATTTAATCGTCTGTCTTCCAACTAATTGCTTCATTTTGTCCATGATTCACTTTTTAATGCCAAAATCCTCACGCGAGGATTTAATAGTTAAGGTGAACGCTCGTTACTGACTTCAGACAGTCTTATTTACACAATTAAAGCTTTAGATAAGATTATTTTGTCAAAACACTGCATTTGTTCCACAGATGGCCTACCCTAAATCTCACAATCCATTTGCCGATGATGATGACGAGGAAGGTTTTCAGCCCAAAGGTCGAGGGTTCGATGACGACCCGGGTGACAGCGGGTTGACTGAAGCAGAGAGGAGACAGAGGTACCTTCACCAGGAAGTGATGCGTACAGCTCAGTCTGCTGTGGACAGCAGTTATCGCTCCATCGGCCTCATTTATGACTCAGAGAAGATGGGTGTGGAAACTGCAGAGGTACATCCATCCATCCATCCATCCATCCATCCATCCATCCACTTTCTGACACGTCTTCTTACTTTCATGCATTTGTACTTTTGCGCTTGTATTTACTTTTACTTTTTTTATGTATTTGTCTGTGTAGGAGCTGATGCGACAGGGTGAAGCTCTGAGGAGAGCAGACAAGATGCTGGACAACATGGATCAGGAGCTGAAAACCAGCCAGAAGCATATTAACACTATTAAGAGTGTGTGGGGAGGATTTGTCAACTACTTCAAAGGCAAACCAGAAGAAAAACCTACTCCTGAGGAACCAAAGGCCTACCAAGCCAGTGAACGGTGCGTTTCAGTTCCTCATTCTTTAAAACAGTGGCGTGTTGGTACATGTTTCTATTTCAGCTAAACTTAATGATGGTTCAGTTATATTTTATAGTAAATGTCAAATTCCTATAGACTTTTTTTTATCATTTTTGCCTATATTTTAAAAGCTTACGTTGTATAAGAATGTGTTTGTTTAAACTTGTTTTCAAGAAAGTTAAATATAGTTTGCCTTTTTTGAAATAAAACTGAAAACTATACTTGTAATCTTTTGATTAGATATGCATTAAATAACTTTGTAATTAAACAAAAACTCAGCCTGAAAAGTTATCAAAGTTCTGTTTTAATTTTTCCAACAGGGCCCCTGCTGCATGAAATATCTGTCTAATAAAACACAGTGATTGGTGACTAAAGTTCACCATATCCAAATGCTCAGCTGGTGTCCCCCAAGGCTCTATATTGGGCCCTGTTCCTTTTAGTGTTTATGTTAATGATTTACCAAATGTTTGTTCATATGTTAAAGTTCATCTTAATGCAGATGATTGTATGCCCATACTATGGCAGCACAGGAAACAGCTTATGTTTTATCAGCAGCGCTGGTACTTTTATCTCACTGGCTTCAGGATCCATGCTCACATCTTAGTACAAAAAACTGTTTTTAATCTTTAATTTGTTTGCACTAGCCAGCAGAGGGCCAATGTGTTCATGTGTATTTTAGTTCATGAAGTATTTTAGTGTTGTCCTTCACTCAAATCTTACTTTTAGGCAATATAAACTGTAATAAAATCAAAGTTGGCAAATTTTCGTCATGTCGGACCTTTTTTTACTTTACAGGCAGCAAAAGTTTTTATTCATGCAGTGATCTTTTCTCACGTGTCGTATTGTCTTGACTTGGTTGTGCACAACAGCAAATGTGTTCATTCTTCAAAAAGACAATCAAAATTTTAAATAGACAACCTTTTCAGATTTATTATTGTAATATTACAATAAGAATAAGATGTTGGACTTTGAAAATGACCAAATATTTAAAGATCTATGTTTTGGGTTTTAAATGGGCTTTCCTCGCCATCATTAACCTTTTTTTATGCAGGAATATCATAAATACCGATCCGTGCAGCGCTTTCTAGGTATCTGAACCAAAACAAGAGCAGATAAAATCGAATTTCATCAACTGTCTCGCACTAAATAGTTGACCTGTGTTTCCTTCACCTGTCTCAGATTACAGAGTGCCTTGTCCAGCAGCAGAGAGCAGGAAGACAAGTACCAAGCCAGCCATCCCAACCTGAGAAGGTTGGAGACAGGAGGTAAGAGTTGGCACAAGGATCTCAGCGTGATTTAATTATTTCACAACCACCTGCCATCGTTTCTGACTCCTGTGTTCCAGGTTTTGGAGCTTCTGCATCAATGGATGATCGCTCATCTAGACAGAATGGAAACCCACAGAACAGATACCTCAAGGAGGCTCACCATACCCTGGACAAAAACTTAGGTGAATAAAAACGATTATTCTTTGTCTTGTATTCAAACTGGATTATATTTAACAGTTTTCTGTAAAGTTGTCGCAAGAACCATTCAAGTTAATGTTTAGATTACCTTTTGTAATCTTGCAGCATTTAATGAATTCCATATATCATGTCCTGATGCATGCTCAATAATCCAGGTAGATAAATCTAACAAGGTTGAGTATGGGTACCACTACATGAAGATGCTGCTTATAGGACTTTTTATTGCAGCTCCTCAGTCTGAAGAAGGCTTTTGGATGAAAGATGAAACGTTTCAACAAAGCGGAATCCGTCCAGAGGACCTGACTCAACCTTGTTAGACCTATACAGTAGTCCCTCGCTACTTCGCGGTTCGACTTTCACAGACTCGCTCTTTCGCGGTTTTTCAAAGTAAGATTGGACATGACACACAATTGGCTGATTGATGGATGAGCCACACAAGTGGCATGGGTTGTTTATTTAAAATAAATGATTTTAAATGATTTGGCACCTGCTGTACCTGCGTGCAGCCCAAAAGTGCAGCTCGCTCCTGCAGCATTTCATGATCTCCGCTCTCTGCCACCTGCGGCTGTGTGAACAAAAATATCACCGGATAAGAATCTGAAGCTGCGATGACGTCAGAGGAAACGAGGTTTGGACGGACGGATCACGGGATATGTGAGAGAAAGTCTGACAAACACCCTCAGAATGTGGAGCTTGGTTCTGAGAGCTCAGCTCAGAGTCCAGGGTCTGAGTGTTTGGTCAAACAGGCGTGGGTCATTCACAGAGACAGGAAAAGTAAAACTTATCCGAGGGTTTTAGCTGGAATCGGTGGTCTGAAGGCAGAGCAGACGTCTTCAGGCATGAGGTATCAGGTAAGCACAGCACACACAAAAAATAAAAGCACAATCACAGCTCCATAATTATTTAAAATAAATTATTTTTAAATGATTTAACACCTGCTGCAGCAGGTTTGGGGCGAATTGGCCATTCGGAGCATCAGGATATTTCCCGGTGGCCTGGCCGTTCACCGAGTGGGACTAAAGGCTCGGTTCTGGTCGCGCTTGATTATTTAAAATAAAGCTGCTCATGCAGCACGGATGGTTTATTTAAACTATTACAGTACAGTATTTAAATTGAAATTGTTTATCTACACAGAGGGAGGAAGATTGGGAGTGATGAGCATGAGTGTGATTGCAGTGGAGAAGTGGGCGTGGCAGAGAGCCGCAGAGATCATGACAGGCTGTGCTCTTTTAGAGCGTTTAGAGTTTAGAAAATTGTTAGGAATATTGACTACTAGCCCTACTTCACGGTTTTTCAATTATCGCGGGGATGGGGGGTGGTCCCTAACACCCGCGATAAATGAGGGACAACTGTATATCGTGGTTTTATTCACAAGTTTTATTTAAGTAACCATAAAATACACATTTTAACACTGAAACTAGTTGCATAATACTACCTTATATTATATAATATTGCCGTGTGCATGAAAAGAACTTCCCGTAAGCTTTGCCAATCTTTCTCATATTAATCCTGATGTAAGATGAATGTTTTCTGTGGATTGTTCAGATGACATGAGCGATGGGTTGAGAAGACTGAAGAACCTTGGACTCGGGCTTCAGGTAGAAATCGATGAGCAGGACGACTCCATCGATTCTCTGCTGAACAAAGTGGACAAGATGGACGGGAAGATCAACACCGCAAACCAGCAAATTAAAAACCTCAAATAGGACTCACACTTGGACTCATTCGCACCCACGAGCCTTCATCTCAATCTTTGTTAAATATATATATATTTCTTTTTTTTATTATTTTCAAAAAATAAAAACAAGATTTCTTTCTTTTTGAGAAGTTGGATTTTACTTTCTGTCAAGCTTCACTTCATGTCTGAAAGTTTATTTTGAGTAATTTTCTTTTTTTTTGTAATTGCCAAAAATGTAATTAGCAACAAACTGGTGAATTTTAATTGATGGATCATTCTCTGAAAAAAAAAAATGTGTTTTATATGTGCACTAGCTTTTTGTCAGAGCTGACATTTATTTCTGAATTTTCCTACAAGTGTTAAAACACACGCAAGCAGAAATTCTCCTTAAAGTCTTTTATCTCACATAAATGTACTTTAGTCTCTGTCATTAAGTCTTAACGGGTTCGTCTCACTATGACAAGCTTCACTTTGACTCTTTGAATCTGATTTTCTAACTCTACGTACCAAGTCTTATATTCAATGCTGCAAAACGTATCTGAGGTCATTATTGTACAGCGTAAAATATACTATTATGTATCTAAAGAAATAAACCTTACACTGAAGAGCCACTCTCCATGTTTTCCAGAAAAAGTGAATCACAATGCCATCTTTGAACGTTCTTGGAAACTGTTTGTTGCCTTGTTCGCTATGCACTGAAATCAGACGGAAATATGATTCAAACATTCAAAAGATATCCACCTTTTATTTACCATTAAAAAGAAACAGGATATCAACACAACCACACGGTGGTGCTACGGCTTAAGGGTGACATTACAGACAATTTATTTTATTAGAATATATTTCTATATAAAATCTTGAGGTGGGCTTCTTATTGAATCGACAGGATGAAGTTGATTGTTTAATGATCTGCAAATATAAAATAAAAACATGCATTTTGTAATCAGAGCGATGTGTGTGAGCGTTCTGTGCATCCTGTCTGAATGAAATGAATATTATCATTCCTCTGATGGACCAGCTGCTCCCACAGGAGCAACAAGCATCCATTAGGATGACCTGTTAATTACAGTACGTGCTTCTTAAAACATATTTTGCCTAAAACCAGTACATGTTAATGGGTTGTTGCTTTTTTGTGACTGCTTTACAAGCCACACTGTGAGTCGTTCTGAGTGTTTTACATCTCGGTGGTGGTTTTAGGACTTGTTGAGCTTCCCTGCTCTGTTTGTGTCACAGTTTGTATCTTTTTATGACTGATGGCATTTTTTAAATCTCTTAGTAGTAGCTTGTGGTCATTGTGTCCCTTATTGCATGTGATTGTTTCATGGGTTGTATTATGATAATTTTACGTGTAATTTATAACACCCTTAAATTACTTTGGGTCTCAGTTTGTGTGTTTATTTTAAAGTAAGTGATTTTTATGGGTTGATTACTATTTTTTGTAGATATTCAATGTCTTTCTGTTGGTGTGCTGCTTCCTTGACATCATTTATTCTCTCCCCATCACTTTTAATTGTATTGGTCTCTTCTGCAGCCCATTTTGATCGTTTTTCATGTTTATTTCTGATACTGTATCTGCAATATTATACATCTGGGAAGGAACCAGGGACTCCATCTGAGCCCTGAGTTCAACATATCATTCACATGTCTGACAAAGTTACACTCGCGTCAAGGTTTTCACGACAACAGCATCAGATGCGTGGGCAAAGTGATATGAAAACATCAATTTGCAACTTTAAACAGGAAGAGTGGACCTTGTGGCACCCCAGATCCACTGGCACACCCCAGATAAACGGAAATCTCCTCTGGGTTTGGTCCCTTCTTGCCGACAAAGCTTTGAACAGCTGCCTTACCAAAAAGCAAACAGCGACTGTGTTTTGACAAAAGCCACCAATGCTGGAATGCCCCCCCTCCCTTTCAGAAACTGTAATCCCAGAATACACTGCTGTCAGAGCACATCAGGCGGAGTTCGGGGATGGGTCCGATTCCTGCCCTTTTGGACAGCAAGAGCAGGGCTATCAGGCTGACGGGCCTCCACGGCCTCTGGCATGGTGAGACAATGTGAAGAGGAGTGCTGATGAAGAGGAGTTTGGTGAAGAGGAGGGAGGGAGGAGAGTTAAAACAAGGAGGGAGGATAGTCGGAGAGATTAATGAACGAGGGAAAGTACCCCAGAGAGAAACTTCTCTTATGTGACTTTTCTCAAGCTGTTTAGAAAACTTGTCCCAGAAACTTGACATAACCATTCACGATGTGTGGAATTCAAGTTCTTTTTGTAGATTTTTTTAAATTTCCAAACAACAACAAAAAAAACCTCCTAATCAAGCCTAACATGTATGATAAATATGATATTTATGTCAGGTTTATTGAATACTCTAGGTGTGAACAAGAAGGTGAACGGTTGTCTGCTCATTCATGGTCCCTGTGATGAACTGCTGACTTGATCCAGATGTGGAAACATAAAAACATAAAACAAGTGGTGGAGAAAATCCAGAGAAAATATTAGAAATCACAGGTTTAGTCTGCCTCTCCAGCTGGAGATACAGTAGGTACCAGTTCTAAATTGTTCTAGAATTGCGGCGCTCGGGGTGTCTGCATGTTGGAGCAGCTCCGTTACAGTCAATCTGAGTTATTGCAATAGAAAACTTTAATTCCTCTTTTCTTCTGGATGTAAATCACTTTTTTCAGATGATTATTTACTCTGGTATTGGACGTTGTGCAGCTGGAAGGAATTTTACTGAAACTTTTTTTATTTTGGACATTTGTTATGATGCGTAACCATGGCAACAAGTTTTTTTTTTTTTTTAACAACCAGGAGCAGCTGATCAACATCTCAAAAGCTCAAATACCTCAACTACAGCCCCAAATCCCAAATTAGTTGAAAAGGAGGTGCCGTGGACGAATTCTCATCAACCTGGAGGCGGTGCTTGAGTACCTGACCGCCGAGATCCTGGAGCTGGTGGGAAACTCAGCTCGTGACAACAGGAGGACCGGGATCATCGCCCGGCATCTGTCCGTGGCGACAAGGAGCTCGGCAGACTGCTGGGAGGAGTGACCATCGCTCAGGGAGGAATTCTGAACAGCATTTGGGCCGCCCTGCTGCCCAGGAGGACCGAGAGGCCCGCCGGATCTGACAACAAGCTGGATCTGGGTGGACAGATTTGTATTTGTGGCCAGATTATTCAGATTCACTGCAGGAGATCCTTCCTGCCCACAGCCATCGAACAACTCTTGAAGGAAACCAGGATGATGAGCTATGACAACACTTAATTTCCCTTTAGGATCAATAAAGTATTTTTGAATTTGAATTGAATTGAATTCCCTGTTTTCCTGAACAGGAACAAGCGGGTAAAGAAAACAGATTCATATTTGTGAGGTGAAATTCATCTTCAGCCTCAGGAATCTCAAACAGTATGTGAGTTTGAATGTAGTTGTCCTAAGACATGAACAAACAGAAGAATTTCCTACATTATTTAGCAGTAACAGTGCAATATGTGGTTGGTAGAAAACTGGACCAGACACCTAGTGAAAAACCTCCTCCTTGTTCAGTTAACAAGACCATATATCACATAGGAGGGAGGCAAGTTGTCATTTAAATTTGGTATTTGATGTTCTGTGTTGGGATGACCAGCAGCAGATGTACTGATGCAGGACTTCAGCTGTCAGGTGTCTCAGGCTTCAACTTTTAACTTTTCACGCATCACCTTCTCACACTGACATCACAAAAACAAACCTCAAATTACAGGAGCTTGTAGCTGAAAGGGTAAAGCACACAGAGAAGCTGTCATTTTGTCAGTCACCTAGTCAAACCAAAGAATATTCCCAGTACTGCCACACCCTTCGCTGAAGAAAGGAAACACGCATCAGTAAAGTATAACCAAAGACAGAGATGATTATTTAAATTTTATTACTGGACAGTGTACAGAATATGCAGTTGCACAAATGAAATCATCACTTGTTTATAATAAATAAAAAAGGCAAATACAGATGTGGGAAAGAAAAACAACAAGAAAAAAAAATCCCTTTACTGGAGCTAAACGTGTTCGGCTGTTCAACCAGCTGTGACAGAAACATGGAAAGACTCCTGCTGTCGAGGCAAAAAGGCTGCGCTGCAGTTAATCTGCAGCTTCTTTCAAAGAAAACACCAAATCAAAGTGAGGGAAAGAGAAGGAAAACAAGACGCTGATGAGAGCGTTGTGGAGGGGATTCCGGTGATTAATAATCTGGGAGTAACTTGACTGTGTGGGATATTTATGTTGGCTGATGTTCTGCTGATAAAACCTCCCCGTGCGAGCAGAAATGACTGTGAGTGGAAAACACCTTCAAAAATATTTCCTTCTGCTTTTGAACACAGAAAGAAACACCATGAAACCCTCTCATGTGGCTCCTTCTCTATCAGCTCTGAACTCTGGGTTCCAAACACTGGCTCCTGAGGACCACCATCCTGCTTGTTTTAGTTGTTTCCCTGCTTTGACACACCTGATTTGAATGATTTGGTGATTAACAGACTTTGGCAGAACTTGAGGAAGTAATTAAATAATTGAATCAGGTGTGTTGAAGCAGGGAAACAGCTAAAACACGCAGGGTGGTGTTCCTCAGGGACCAGAGTTGGGAACCACTGCGAGTCTAAGGAACTGATTTTAGCCACTTCAACTACTGAACCTCTGCTTCAGACCAGGAGAAGGAGCCAAAAACACACATCAAATCACCTGAAAATCAGAACCTAATACGCACTTTCACTTACTGACATGAATGTTTTTGTTTAAAGAAAATATTAGCAGGAACAAATCAACAGCGCTCTCATGTGTTCACTCAAATGTTCACGGAAAAGATAAAAACTTTTAGCTTCTCCCACACATTTATGATTGAAAGCTCTTTAGGTCCAGGCTAAAACTGAGGGTAGGCCCTGCCAACACAAATAGATGGGCACATTCACATTGCATATAAACATTCATATATTTAAAAAATGGTAATAAGCAAAATAGCATATATTTAAAAACACACATTATTAAGTAAAGTTGCATTGATGGAGGTAGATAGCAAAGATTCGGAGGTATAAAGATGAAGATTTAGCTGCTTTGGGGGTGAAGCGGTGTAAAAGCAAAACCTAAAGTGAAGAAATGCGTGGATTTCTGTGTGTTTATAGCAGTTTATACAGTACAGAGTACGAGTTGAGAAGTGGCAGGAATCAGGATGCAGATGAGGTCCTTGAGTTGATCCAGGACTCTGGACAGGAAGGTCTGGCTTGGTCGGCGGGAGGGTGCAGTAACTCCCCCGTCCGCAGATGTCTGAGGGCTGCGCATCGCCTCAAACGAAGAGGACAGAGTAGGGAGGACATTGGCAACGTTCAGAAGATAGCTCTCGCACCCAGGAACCATGACAACCAGGAGCTGAAGCTGCCGTCCAAAACGTTCTAAAGAGTTACAAACAAACGACCAGAAAGTCAGAAAATAATGTTTTCTATAGACAAGGAGTCACATCAATCAAGGGTTCCAGGTGAAATTCACTGTATTTGGTCTTTTTTCTATGTAGGATAAAAAAAAATAGCAATTGGACAATGTTTTCTGATGCTTATTTTACCAGTAATGGAGGTTGAAGTCCACAACAAACATAATTAGATGCTACAGTATGAATGTCAAGATATGGGCTAAATGACGCGTTTTTATTGTCCGTCATGCAGAAAAATTAATTTTGCTCTAATGTTCTAGTTGTTGAGAGGGTTGATTTTTTTTTTTCCTTCTTTTTCAGCTCGTGGACTCGTAACACAGCATATGAACACATTAGCAGTCATGTTTTGCTTTTACCTAGTGCTGTCCAGGCCATCACCTGCGCAGCGGTCGGACTTGGACATGGCGTCACTCTGACACTCTGCGCAGACCAGACGCTCCTTCACCAACTGAGCGCTCCACAGTTTGAGTTTGCACGGCACGCTGGCCTGCTTCACTCGCAGGTACACGCAGTAACTACCAGAGCAAGAGATGGGAAAAGCATTTCAAATAAGTGACTTAACATCAGAGTCAGAAGTGGCACAACAAATCTCCTTTATAGGCACAGAAACATGTTGTGTTAACACACAGCTTGTTTCTTGGTCTGGAGCCATATCTACAAATTGAGCAAATGGAAAACGTCCAAATGAAGATACTGAAACCCTCCCAATGAAACCTCCCTCCTCCAACTTCCTCCAAAATATTTTTGCTCACAGCCAATGAAATAAATCCAGACAAAACACAAGTTTGTGTTCTTCTTGAAGGTAATCCAGCAGTGTCATGGTCACCGCACCGTCCTCTAAAATCAACAGAGACTGCAGACTGGAAACAATTAAAGTCCTTCTCCTCCTAATGGCTGCAGACTCTGGCAGCTCTTTGAACTTTACTCCACTATTTACATCGTCTGAGAGGCAGACAGCTTCGACTAAACACTGATCTTGGCTAAGACATGAAGCTGAATAGCTGAACATGACGTTTTGATTTTTCCCCAAAGGAACTGAAATACAATAGAAATTATGTTGAGTTTAACGATTAAATAAATAAAAAAATTATGTTTCTAGTCCAGTATCCATGACATCATCATCAGTACAACAGATGTCTCTGGAAAATTACTCGCGCTCAATCCTGTCAAAACAAAGCATCTCATGTTCATTTTAATCAGACTAGAAAAGCAGCCAGATTAGATTCCCCCGCCGTGATCAGAACTAGTTTATATTGATGAGTGTGATTAGTAAAGGTCAGCTCATGATGCAGACGATCAAGGCTGGAGTTCAGGTTACAAAGACAAAGCTAAAGGCACACCGTGTGCGCTGCGACAACCTTGGCCTCTGTCTCTATTCTTTAATCTTCACATGAAGCTCATCTCTGAGTGACCTTCAAATGAATAACGACTGATGTGAACGTGAGGTGAACTCCTGCAGCCTTGAAGAACAGAGATTCACCCCAGACTGTGTGAAGTCGTATGACTCCTGAAGCATTTTTTATTTTTATTTATTTCACACACACACAAAGGCAAACTTATTATATTAAATTGTAACATAATGTCCAAAGAGTGGCAATTTTGTTCTTTAAAAAAAAGGAAAAAAATCCCTTAAACCTTGACTTCAACCTGATTCAAACCAAATATTTTAGTCCTTCTGTCTTAAAAACCAACAGAGACAAATTAAACTAAACTGACTCCTGAAACTGTATTTAACTGCTCCCCCAAGCTTCTCATAAGATACTAAGGCTGTTGCTGAAGAGGACTTACTCAGTGTTGTTGCTCCAGAAACACTTTTACAAACTGCATCTGTTTCTGAGAACAGCTGGTTGCTGTTTAATTTAGTCGTTTTCAAGTGATTTTAATAAACCGTGGGAGTCAACTAATTTGGATAAACCTGGCAGCTTCTGCATATTTTAATTTGATTGCACAAAAAAAGCAATGTTGTGAAACTGACCACTGATGATAGTTTTAGTAAATTTCACTAGTTCTTGTGTCCAGACTGTTAAAGCACCGTTTAAAACAGGGGTTCCCAACCCTAGTCCTTGAGGAACACCACCCTGTATGTTTTAGTTGTTTCCTGCTTTGACACATCTGATTTAAATGGAAGGGTTCTGCAGAGCCCGAGGAAGTAATTAAATCACTGTATCAGGTGTGTTGGACCAGGGGAACAATTAAAACACGCAGGATGGTGTTCCTCAGGGACCAGGGTTGGGAACTACTGGTTTAAAGGCTCAGAAATAGTCAACATTAAATATCTGGTTTTGTTTTTATCTCATTTCAAGGTAGATCCGTTTGTTTTATTCAAATTACCATAAAAATATGTACTTTCTCTGTTGAATCCCATTTTTTTATTTCAAGAAACTGATGAATTACTCTAAATCAATAAATAATTATTGTTTTTTAAATAAAATAATTTTAAAAATCTTCATGGTGTATAGCTGTGGAAGGCACCTTTTTACCATCATCTTGGTGGTATTTAGTTTCTTTTTTTGTAAAACAGTCTTTCAAATTTATGTTTTCTCTATTTCAAAATTTTTGAAACGTGTATTTTCTTTAATTAACATTTCACAGTTTCAGTATTTGATAATGTCTTTGGATTGTTTTCAAATATTTCAAGTTTTATATAAATCAGAACATCTTTTTTAATCTATATTTTATAAACTATGCCAGCTTTTTTTGAAATAGGAACAAATACTAAAATAATGACGAATTACCACTTTACCTGTTTTGGCTGTGACTACTTTTTGTAATGACAGTAATAAAATTCATCATTATTAAAATTAAAAAAGCAGCTAAGTGGTTTGAGAGGGCGGCGGCATGGGGGCCTCACCTGTCCTTTTTCTCCTTCATCAGCATGTGTGGTCGCCTCCACGGGTCCTTGAAGTTCCTCTTGAAAGAATCAGGCAGGATCTTTGCCACCTCTAGAGATCAGGTGCAGGGACGCAAATGAAAAGACATCTGCACTGAATCGTATTACTCACTCATATCAATCAGAAGATCCTAAGTCATGTAGACTAATGTGGTATTTAGTTTTCTAAATTAATATTTCATTTGTAAAATTGTTTATCTGCATGGTGTTGCAGAGAAAAAGAATAGGGATGCACGATATTATTGGCATGGTATCGGTATCGGCCAATATTAGCGATAAAGTTAAATATCGGACATTGGCCATTGCATCAAAAACACTCACCGATATAAAAGGCTTATGTTTTAAGTTATTTTTTAATTTAAGAAACTGTCAAGTATATCTCTTAATGCACTATTTCTTATGCACTTTCACTTGTCGCTTGTGAAGAGGTTTTTAGATTTGTGAACATTTACAAATTTGCACTGTTTAAGTGTTGTCATTGTGTTAGAGTAAATATCATGAATAAATTTGACATTAAACATAATCCAAGTTGAAGTGTTACATCATTTTCAGCTCCGTTTTGGCATCTGAATTTGGTAGCAGACCAAATTGACAAAGATCTTGCAGAATAATTCTACAGCAGAGAAAGCTTTGCAGTCTCTGTAAGTAGGTCTAGGGGGAAAAATATTGATATTGGTATCGGTATAAGTTTTAACGTATTGACATATTGGATATCGACCAAAAATCCAATATCGTGCATCTCTAAAATAGAACATAAACGAGGTGTTGAAACGGTGATGCTGGAGGTGCGGTTTCACAACAAGCGTGTAAAAATGTGTTAACAAGAAGCCCCTCCAAAGAAAACTGAAACACCAAAATAATATAGAGGCAGAAGTCGTCACCTTTTGCGTTGCTGCATATGACGTTGTTGCCGAAACATCCTCGCCGTTGTTTGAGGTCGGGACAAGGAGTGCCTCCATTTCTGGGGGGAACAGATACTTGGCGACTCCTCTCCTTGGTACCAACTCCACATGGGGATGAACATGACGACCAAGGGCCCCATGATCCCACATTACAGTCAATGGCTGCTGGGGGATCAGGTAGACGGTTAGGGTTCAGGAGAAATCAGACAGATGTTTTAGATAACAAGGAGCAAATTCTGGAAATGCAGCTGAATAAAAAGAACGAGCTAACACACCCCGAAGGAAGTTTAAAAACTCTAATCGTTTCTGAGCTGCAACACATGGACTCAGGTGGGCAGGGGGAAATAGGTAGCTGCCCATTACAAACCATTTGTGTCGACCCATCTGAACCCCAGACACAGGAAGTCTACACCTCAGGTCAAATGTGTGGGGTGATTTACACGGGGGCTAATTTGACATCCTGTTAACCCCCTTCAAAACACTCATGCACACCCGCGAGGTCTGCATACCACATAAACAGCAGCAGCAATTACACTTCCTGTTCAGTAGGCTGATTTAGCCATTTAAATCAGGCCAAGAGGAAGTTGCATTACTAAGACTGATGAAAGCCAGAGAAGCTTCAGCAGTAATCAAAGCATGTCCAGCACCGAGATTTAACAGCAGCAGACATTTAACAACCTTGTTTTGGGGAGGAACTGCAACCTTCAAAAACATGAAGGAGTGAGACAGTCAAGGGCTCCAAATAAAATAAATGTAACCATGAACTTTTACACCACTTAGGCTCTTTTTTAATAACTGTTGGTTGTGGCTTGTATCTTCACAGGACAGCAGGTGCACACAAGTTTGAAACTGATATTCTTTTTTGAAATTATAGGGAAGGAGTGGATAAAGACACCACGAGCGAACCTGATCTTCTCCCACCTCGAGTCACTCAGCCGTCAGTACAATGCAGCGACTCGGTGATTGTTCGTGTGAGAGCTGAGGGGAAAAAAGAGCTTTGAATGTGCCGCCCGTTTGGTTCATTCCCATGGTCCTGCTGAAGGTTCAGAGGGTGGGGGTCGGCTGCTGCGGTGACACAGTGGATTCACAAAGCCACTATGGATGCTTTGGATTCCTGCACATTAGTGCTGCTCACCTGACACTGGCCTTTCCCAGATCAACACACAAACAAACAAACAAAACAACAATTCCTCTCTCATAAATCAGCCCAGTTGAGTTTATTCTAACCATTACTGAAAAACACACAGACGGAAATACAAAAACAGGTGGAATTCACTGGAAAAATTTTAATGGTGCATGATCAGGGGCACCGCCAAGGGGAGGCCAGGGGGGGCAATGGCCACACCTAAAATATTGGTGCCCCACCCCTTAGCCAGTCAGTTTTATCCTTTGAGTCTTCAGCCAGGTGCATATTTTTAATTTCCCTTAGTTTTTTTTAGGATTTCTAGTAAATGTAAAGATGCACACCTGAGTTTTTTTTAGGGAAAATGACAAAAAGCTTTATGTAAAGATATTTTATGGTAATACATGTGTATAAGTAGACAGATTACATAAAACTGGACTGTTGTGGAACTCCAAATGTTACCTGTTCTGGTCTCCGCACATCATATAATCTGTTATATTTCCTTTAAAATCACTCTCATGTTGCAAAGTTTTCTAATTGCTGTTTTATAACAAGAGCATAATGAATTTCTGAAATTATTTTATGGCTTACCCAGGATTTTCAGTGGCCACCCCAGTATATATATTTAAAAAAAAACTCCACTCTGCATGATCGGATCTCTACAATCAGCTTTCTAGTTTTAACTTCTTATGCTCTCGTCAGGTATCCTTTCCTTTTCTTTGCTTTCTGTGATGCTTACTGGGAGATTTTGAGGCTGTTGTTTAGTTTTTATAGAAAACAAGCAGAGCCTTTAAGGTCTTTACTGAAGAGGCCGTGTTGTGAAACCAACAAGGGTCGGCCGGTTCCCGGACCCAAAGTGAAAACAACTGTTACTCCTTTAATGGACACACACAAACACGCACCAACAGGATGGAGGCTCTGTGTTGAAGGCTCAACCTGCTGACCCTCGAGCCACCAGAGGTCAGGAGGAAATTACTAAACAGTGGTGGCCTCCCCACCCCCCACCAAGGCAACAGTCCCACCACCCACATGATAACCCTGCTGACAGTCTGACCCACAGCCACTTCCTGACCCTGTCTGCATTGTTGATGAGAAAGTTCCTGGTCAGAGAACCTGTCCCCATCCCTGACCTCTGACCCCAATACAGGAAACAAATGTTGATCGTAGACGGCATGTGCAGCTTTTTGACTGAGCTCAGAATAAATCAAATGACGAGAAGCAATTTGCTCCTCGATTTGTAAAAAAGGAACAGATCCTGCATAGACATAAATTAAGATTACTGCGTGTTTATGATGATTTCTGTTGTTTTCACCAGACGGATGAGAGTGGAGGCAAAATGGACAAAGGGGAAGCTCACTTGTGTTTGAGCACCATTATTTAAAAGTTTAGCACAATGTGTCTTATTTTTTTTTGTGTGTGTCTAACAGAGCTCCAGGCCACAAACAAATAATCTTTTACAATACTTTATTTTGAATGGCATCCCTTTTGTCTTCTTTAAACGTGCTTCCATTTAAAAAATTCTCATGCTTAAAAAGCCCAATTTAACATTTTGTCCACCACTTGCCCTTGGTCTTGTCCATCTGTCCCCTTTTTTAGTCCCTTTTTATGTTCCTCTCAGTACACCCCCACATTTCTTTGATGGGATGCAGATGTCCAACTGGTCTGGAGGGCCACTTTTGACTCAAAACCACTACAGTCACCCTCCTTCACCACCCAGTCAGACAGACTGATCAGATCAAGGTCTGGCTAATGTTGCTATAATGTTCAGGAACACACACAAAAAAAAAACATTAAAAGTATTTTAATAAACTGACAAACATTAACTGTACGAACAGCGAGGGGTATAAATCTTCCCTGTAGACAGATGGAGGCTAAAAACCAGCCTCTAAAAACGATTTATTACAAAATTTGGGCTAATTTAGCCTTGCTTGGCCTCACAGCATGTCACTTTTTTCCCAAACAATTATTAGACAAAACAAAGAAAGAACAAGAAACGCTTGAATGTCAGGAGGTCACGTGCTTTTAGACAAGTGCTCCAGAGTGTTCAGAAACATAAACATCTCAAATGAAATTCGCCATCATACAATCTTTTCTTAGCACTGGATTAGCTTCAAGTTGGACAGAAAAACTAAAAAAACTACTTGACTGAGTGTTTTTTTAATCGTTATTTGTTGAAAATCTTTGATTATTTTTGGTTTGGTAAAGGAGTGACTGAACATTTGTCACACTGAGCAGAACTGGGTGGCACAAACACAGAAAAAGACTTTTGTTATGATCCGTGGACCCTGAAGAGCATTAAGTAATCTACGTCCAATTAGCAAGAGACTAAACAGAAACGAGCTCAAAGCTGTTCTGGCTGATTGGTGTTTTTATCTTGTTTATCGTTTGTTTTGGTCGTGAGATTGTTTGTGCTTCTGTTGACTCTGGCCCACCCATTTGTTTGTCATTTAAAAACCACTAATTGAACAACTGGCCATCACTATAATATGTAAAGCCCAAAGTGACAATATTTAGTCAAAAAGGTGGATTTGGAGGCTACATCAAATAAGATTTAAGGACAATTAATTGAATTTGTTACGGTTTAATGGAGGTGGTTGGACCCAGGGATGCAAATGAAACAAAAAGCTCCCGGGGCAGCTAAATCTTGTACAAAGTAAAAACCGAAGCTTTAGACACATGGAGGCACAAGGAGATACAAAGAGGGGGCCGGACATGGTGTCAGAACACACAACAATGCTGAGGAACTAAACGAACTCTGGGGCTGATGGGCGAAGTGGCTGCAGCTGTGACAAAGAACCATAAATAAACCATAATAACCTAAAGATAAGCACAAAGGACGACCAGAAACTACCAGGAATTACAGAATTACAGAAAGAAAAGCTTTGCAGAGAGTGGTGAAGGCTGTTGGAATCAGCCTCCCCACCATCACAGACATCTACACCTCCAGATGCAGGAAGAGGGCCACCTGCATCATGAAGGACCCCACTCACCCAGCACACACACTTTTTGCCCCACTCCCCTCAGGAAGGAGGTTAAGGAGCATTAAGTGTAGAACCACTAGACTGAGGAACAGCTTCTACCCTGAGGCTGTTAGACTCATGAATCTCTAACTAGAATAATCACTGTGAAAAACCATATCATGTTGCTGCTGATCTGTTTCATGTTGCTGCTGATCTGTTTCATGTTGCTGCTGATCTGTTTCATGTTGCTGCTGATCTGTTTTAATGTTGATGTGTTCATGCGTGCACATCTGCTCACAGACTCATGTTCATGTTTGTGCTGATGTTCAATGTTTTATGTTATGAGTGCTTAGTGTATATTTAGTTGATGTTTTTCTTAGTTCATATCTTAGATGTTATTACTGTTTTTCTTATACATTTTATTGTTGGATGTAACTGGGACCCTGTGTACATAGTTTTGCTCCACCACATGTACCACATGAGGTGCGAATGACAATAAAGAAACTCTGACTCTGACTCTGATATAGGAAAAATAAGATATACCCTGAAGGGTTCTGTTAAAAGATTGTGGGACACTTTGCAGCCTTTCATGTTGTATGTGGAAAACTTGTCCATGTTTAGTTTAGTTATGTGTGTGAGACTGAGCCGGTGGAGGAGAGGGGTAGGAGGTGTTTTGTTTTTTATTCTGTGTGCTCTCTTTTTTCTTGATTTTTGTTTGTGTTTGTTTTTATGTTAAAAAAGACTGATTGAAAAAAAGACTTTGCAAACGTCATTATTGATACCCAACATTGTTCAGTCAGGTCATCTGGACAGTTTTTTTGTTGTTGTTGTTGTTGTGATGGTTTGTCCTTCATCCAAAGGACTTATTCAGTCTGAGGAGCCCCAAACAAATTCAGTCCCACAAGAGGTTTTGAACCACTTTAGCTACGGATGCCTCAGAGGAGTCGATGGGGGAGAGAGCGGGCCCAAGAAACCATCTTATCACCAGCAAACTGAACTAGTTGGTCCACTATGTGAGTGTGCTGCTTGTGGGACTGAGTTTGTTTGTGGCTCCTCCGACTGATGAAGTCCTTTGGATGAAGGATGAAACATCTCAATAAAAAAAAATAAACCATCCGGATGACCTGACTGAACAATGTTAGTTTTTTTTACCTGGATTATTGAGCATCAACTTTGATGTCAATATTGATAATATTACATAAACCTTGGTGCGTCAGAAAGGGCAAACAGTTGGCAAAACTTTTGTGCAAGTTTGCTTGTTGTTGTGACTCCAGCAGAAGGAAGCAGCCAAAAAACAAACAAAAAATAACTAAATACTGAGAGAATATCTATTTATATGAAAACGCTGTTTGTAATGAGTCTTGTAGACACAAAAAGAAGAAGAAATAAATTTTTCTGCCATAAAGTGGCCAGATGTTACGCATCAAATTCAGATCAGAGCACTTGTTCATGCACTTTATGAGCACTGGGACTAAATGAAGAGCAGGAACTTCAACAGCTGTGTCATTTCAGCTTAAAGAGTTCAAGACCTGTTAGAAAACCTGGGAGTAAAGAAGCAGACGGGGCATCCCAGGAGTGCCCTGCAGGAACAGAGAGAAAGCAGCTGCTAGAGAAAGAGGTGAATTATGAGATAATCTGAGAGGATGAACCCAGAATATATATTTACTGTTGGGGTGAAAACTAACAGACACCCCAGCAGAAGAGGACAGAAGCTGCGTCCTCCAACATCCTAAAGACCGAGATCATCTCTGCAGACGAATGAGCAATTATCTGCATGGAAGACTTGCTACAAAAATAAAAATTAAATAATCTCCTCTACTGTATGTTTGTTGGAGGACTGATGCCTAAAATTAACTTTTTATTTAAATTTAAAAAGTAAGAGAAAGACATCAATTAAAGGCCTGGCCTTCCTTGAAGTAAAGCATATCGCCCAACACTTTTCATGCCAGACTTTTAGATTAAAATATGATTTTGGGAAATTACACAATTTGAGCCATTTTGGTAGCAACCATAAAAATACAGCTGTAAGGGCTATCAAGCAGATCTCACACCCAGAGAATGAGTTGTGAATGACAGTCTGTCAAATTTTAAACTCAATATCTGTAAAACTGATTGATGCATTTCTGTGTTGACTAATATTGATTAGCTTTGGCAGCCATCTTGAACTGAATCGACTCCAAATGTTAAACAGTTGTAGATGTACATCCACTGATTACTTTCTAAAAGGTTCATTAAAACCCATCCAGTGGTTTATTTACAGACACACACACTCAGACACAAGCAAAACATTCATGCTGCACAAATGAGAGAACGTATGCTCTTGTAACATTTTATCTGTAAACATTTTTCTTCTTCATAGTACATTAAATGACAATTAGATGAAGAGTGTGGTGATAAAATATCAGATTGCATAAGAAGTCGGGTGGTTTTCTAAGAATCACACAATGTGTGGACAGTCTAAAGGTCACAGTTAATATAGCCAATCTGTTAAATTCACATGTATTTGCCAGGGCTGCAAAATGACCTGAAAATACGTTATGGAGTGCACAAATCTGAGAACTGAAGAGTTCGGCAGGGATGTTTTGTTTTCCCACCCTGCAGCGTCTGCATCTGAACTGAGCTGCCAGAGCAAAGCATGAGGTCCACCAGACCAAAGATGTTTGTGCAACATGAACAAACCAGAGGACGTGGCAGCTGTGACCTCTGAAGGACCAGAGCTGCAGAAGAGTTGGGTGAAAACTCAGCACCAACCGGAGGTGCTCATCCAAACTCTAACAGTTAGCTTGGAGACACAATGGATACTGGATTGACACCTCGTTGGATTGATGGAGAATCAATAACTAATGAGTCTTGAGTGTAAAACGTTGCTTCCTAATATTTGAAGAATGTTATTTCAAGAACTCCCCCTTGTTTTCACCAAAATGTTGTTTTCACGCCCACATGGCCTCATAAAGATACTCGCTGCAAATGATTAAAGCATAAATTAAAAAGGTAGTTGTTGGTCATAAATTTTGAATTAAAGGAGCCATTAACATTTAATATGATAAAAAAAATAGTAGATTTTGTTCCTTACTTTAGGAAATACATTTTAACTGGTCCAAATTGCATTATATTAAGTACCTTTAAAATACATTTTATTTAATAATATCAAAACACATCTTGAAATATAAATTCAATTCACAGTATTTCTATATATTTTTAAGGGACTTTTAGAAGAGAATTTCTGCACCTATTTAATCACAAAGTGACAGACGTTTGACTGTTTTGACGTCACACAAACATATTTCATATTTAAAAAAAAAAAGAGTAAAATAAGTTTATTCTCAGTCAAAACAAAAACTTACACATTATTTACTGTATGTATTACTTCTTAACAAAAGCAAAAACGTCACAAATTTAAGTTAAATGTTTTGTATCAGACAAAACTATTTTACATCTCCTGAACAGTTGTAATAACAGAGTGACATGACTGAGCTCTTAAGGGTTGATGTCGTGTAAAGCAGAGTTTCCCAAACTTTATTTAGCTTTTGACCTCTAAAACTAACAAGGTCAAACACTTATAAAAACCCAAATGTCCTTGACTGATAATATACAGCTGTTGATAATAAATAAAATAACACACCATAAAATAATAAGGACCATTCCTATCAACTTATAGCAGATACTGGTGTGATCTATTAGTGAAATATACCAGTAGGAGTTAACTGTTTTAATTTGATTTGATCATCTCAAAACCCTGAACCTAGTGTTTTGTGACCCACAGTGGGGAGCCAACCCCAACTTTTAGAACCACTGATGTAAAACATCCAAAGAAAAAAACAACTTGATGCTAATGAGTAAAAGTTCTCATCACTTCGAGTCATACAGCAGTAGGTGTGTTAATACAGCATGTTCTGGTTAAAGGTGCAGGAGCTGCAGCTTTGTTTTGGAGTAAAACAACGTCCAGCAGCAGATATTGTTCAGGTAACACCTGTTTACATCCCAGCAGAGAGACAGAGCTCTGAGGATGGTTTTCTACAGTAAACATGTGTAATGAAGGGGTCTCTGCAGCACTTTAGGAGCTCTGACATGTAGAAGTGACCTGCAGGTGCTTTTTACTGTGCACTTAAAACAAGGAGAGTATAAGTCAGTCCTTGTGAGGTTTAACACACTCTTCAGTCACAGCTCAGTGTCTCTGTCTGTCACAGCAGACTAAACTCTCCTGTGACCCTGACCATCTTTGGCAGTCAGCTGTTCATTCTTTCATCTCTCCATACACAGCAGTCGTCTGATTTCTTAATAAAAGGAGACACATGTCCATCTGTGACTCTCCTCACCATTCACACCTCCTTCCAAGTCCGGTGGTGCAATTTCAAACTTTGATGTGAGGGTCAAAGGTCAACGCTGCAGACCCAAAAAGTCACAGCAGAGACAGTCAGGTGCAGAATGTCTCACTGTCTCCGTGTCCTCTCAGCCACCTCTGAGTGGGAAACTAATAAAAGTTCAGCTTTTATCCAGAAAACCTGCCAAGATGCAACTCACCAGATATCTGGCACACGTGCTGGTAGTCCTCGCAGCAGTCTCTGGTTTTCTGGCAGTAGCTGTCGCAGTAGCACGCTGTTCTCCTCCTCGTGCGCGCCACACACTCGTTATCCCGGCCGCTGCAGCAGTTCGGGCTGTCCCTCTGCCCGCAGCCGGCCTCGCTCGGTGGGACGAGCTCACTGAAGAGAAACGCCACACATCCGCAAAGGAGCAAACCGAGACGAGCCGAGCTCCGTCCGTGCGCTCCCATCGTTCCCATCATGGCTGTTCCAGGACCACCTGCTCCGCGCTGCGCTCTGAACTCACTCGGAAACTTTGGCTCTTTCAGTGCAGCTGTAGTTTCTCCTGCATAAAGTTCAGGTGAAGCAAAGTCCCGACACGAGAAATGCGCTCAGACGAACGGTGCGTCAAATCAGGACGATGTGCGCAAAAGTTGTTCTCTGTCTGAGGATCCCTCCCCCTGAACTGCTCGCGCACAGACGTGAAGTAGCGACCTGTGTCCAAAGTTCATTCTGCATGCCTTCTACAGAAAACAAGTCAACCAGCCCCCAGCGGGATGCAAACTGGATTCTGTGTTTATATAAACAACAAATAAATAAATAAATTAATTAATTAATTAAGGGTTTGCAAAACAAGTGAGAAACGAATAGTTCTGCATTTATCTTCTTCATCCGCTCGTAAACACGGTGAAGAGGCTAAACCCGCTGAAAGCTCGGAGTCAGCACCACGGACAGCGGAGAGTTAATGAGTAAACAGGAGAAAACAGGAGTCAGGGGCTACAGAGCTGCAGGGAGAAGATCATGTCCACTGATGAACAGCAGGATGAACAGCGGGATGAACAGCGGGATGAACAGCG